CATGGCTTTCGTCAACACCGATCATGAACCAGCAAGGTTTTAATGGCACAAAGTAGTTGGACGGAAGTCGTTGATGATGGGATCGGAGTTTATGTCATCCAGTTGGACTTCCCCAAAGCTTTCAACCGCCTGGATCACTGCACCCTACTTCACAGGCTACAGAGCTACGGAATCGGAGATCCTGTCCTTGGTTGAATGGGCAACTTTCTTCACCAACGGAAGCTTTAAGTGCGTTTTAGGGGATCGCCGTCTAACCCGATTGAGGTAGAATGTGATGTCCGATAGGACTCGGTGCTGGGACCACGCTTGTTCCTGGTGTTTAGCAACGACTTGGCAAGAGTGACCTTCTCATATTTCCTCTTTTCGAAGATGATGTCAAGAAATGGCGGGCGATTAGTAAGAAGGAAGATCACGATCTAATCCAACATGACCTAGGTTCCATTTTGTCGGCCGGTGGCCGAGTGGTCTGCACGTTTGCTTTACAACCACAAGGTCACCTGTTCGACTCCGCGTAGGGGTGGGCGTCCTCGCGGTATATTCAGCCCGCGCGCGACTGGTGGTGGCCGCGCGGCAGCGAAACGCCGTTACGGCGTACAGCTGACATATTATTATTATTATTATTATTATTATTATTATTATTCTAGATTCCATTTATGAATGATCAACGAGGAATCTGTTTCAGTTGAACATAGCTAAGTGCAAGGTGATCCATCTGCGTCACCAGCCGGTGAGCGCTTACAAGCTTGGAGACCACACCTAGCAGAAGGCCTCTCAGGAGCGTGACCTGGGTGTACTGGTGTAAGGAGATCTCGGCTATTCAAAACAAGCAGAGAAGACGACGAGAACCGGCAATCAACAGTTTGGTCTTCTTCACAGAGCGTTCGGTCGGTTTGAACCTTCAGTTTTTCCCCAAATGTTTGACGCCTATGTGCGACCGCACGTGGAATATACTATCCACGCGTGGCAGCCATGGCAATAACAGCATCTCGTTGTTCTCGAGACTCCCAAAGAACGGTAACCAAGAACGTCAGATACCTCTTTCATCTGCCCTATCAGCTTCGACTGAAATCCCTAAGAATAAACAACAGTCGATATGCGCGTTTACCATGGGATCTCATAATGGTTTACCGGATTCTGAAGGGCTAAAACTACATTTGCCGTCCGCTGCTGGAATTGAACCACAACACTAACCTATGAGGTCATCCGTTGAAGCTAAAAATACAGTATAGCCGGCTTGAATGCCATAGAAATTTCTTTTCCCTGCGCGTGTGTCAGCCTTGTAAGGCCCTCCTTAATTATATCGTCTTTGCTCCCATTCTAGCAATAGTTAAAAATGAGCTGACGATGCGTTGTCGCATTTGTATTTCATTTTAGGACGCTAAGATGGCTACAAAACGCAATCAAACGATGACTTACCAAACTCACAACAATGAGTTGATACTTTTAATAGGCGGACATCTCCGCTATTCCACATAAGTCTATGGTGAGTCCACCAAAACACTTTTCACTTTATCATGCAATTTAGTTTTCGAAATAAATTCCATCCCACGGGACTTGTTAAGTATTGCATTTTTACCCGTAGTACACCACTGTTCCGTTGTTCCATATGTAAAACCGGCATTGTTAGTGTGAACCATAGGCCCTCCCATTCACCCGGAACCACCAATCTAAACCGTTCTCGGAATCAGATCTAAGTCAGATATTTGGTTCCTAAGATGTATGGTGTCATCTGGAATCCACAAAAGTACGCTCAACAATTTATATGGAAATATCCCTTCAAATGCCGTAGTTAAACGCTCAGTGCCAGAATTCATGAACGCAGAGATTTGGTATAGTGCCGCTCACTATGCAAAGACTTACACGTTACTATCATGAACAGGACAGGGTGTCCCCCACAACAAGTGACGTATGTACTAAACTTAAGCCGCCAATTAACTCATGGCATTATAAGCAATCTGGTCTTCACACTGACCAAAAGAGAGTAGTAGGGGGAGTTGAATGTCATAAGTAGAAGTTCATCACATCTAGAAGACTCCTTCAGACAACAGTCAACGTTAGTAACATGCAACTGAGTCGATAGTGAGAGACGATATTTCGCGTCTAGTAACCTGGTCAGGGCGGTCGTTACCGTCTCCCATAGCCCAGAGTTCTTCACCACTGACTGGTAACAGTCGGTTTGAGGGTTCTTGCCTCACAGGTGCCAAATGGATTGCGCACGGTTGACGTATTCACTTCTTCTTCCCTTGCCTTGGAGGTACAGATTCTCAACTGAATGAGTAAGGCTTGTCAGTTGACACATGTTCGTTACTTGTCATGATATGCTTATACTTGTGAAAGTGGGCATTTGGACCATCGCTTGACCCAAGCACTTCTGCAAGTCGTACTCAGCTGACCTGTGATACACGAAAGCATTTTTCTTCCTGTTGTCAGTCCGCAATGGATGGAACTCTGATTTGAAAAGACGATTCCCATAGTTTTACTTATGGTATGAGGAACTTTCTGTTTTGGATGAGGAAACGTTGTGTGTCCAAGGTCTTATTTGAACTGTTGCAGATGTGGCGATTATATGGATACGCGATACTTTGTTCTCCAGTTTTACCGTGCTTTCGCACCCTGTATATTTTCCACTTCGTTTCCTATGGATCCCGTAATTATTTTTGGTTCTTTAATACTTTGTTGTCGAAGCCAGTTATGGATCTGAGCCATGCTCATTACAATTACAATTATTCCAGATAATGCCACATAATATCAGAGTATTTCTGATGTCTAGCAGTAAGCAGTGAACACTCGGATAAACCTATTAGGTGTATAGCTTATGCTTACTGCCATCATTAGCATAAGGACAATAGCATTTTGCCGACCGATACCACGGCATTACGTAGACTGCTTGCTTTATAGGCTGTGCACAAAAATTACTCTGCTTTCTTAATCACATACCACCTCATCTGCATGTATTATCGAGTTGTGGTGAATGCATCCGTCATGGTAAAGAAATAATACAGAACTGAGAACTCCATCGGTAAATACCAACCAGTGCACGTGTTCTGGTATCAGAAGACCCGACGAATAAGTCAAGAACTCGACGACAGTCAATGGAGACAATCGCATCGAAGTTTCCATAATCCATAAAAATTATACGATAGGTTCAGTACGATCATTGCCCGCCCCCTCGATCTCTTCCTCTCACCGAACTGTATCACATGTCTTCAATGATGAAAGATGATGAGAGGAAATGCTTACTCTTTGCAGCAGAAATGAAAATATAACAGCGATACTAGAAACCCAGTTCAGTATTTCGGGAAGGGAAAGTCTGTTTCAAGTGTCGATGGCCATGATACTTCAAAATAATTTGACGTTATTACCAAATTAATTCACAGTATGGCCCATGGTACAGCTTTCTGTATTCTCAATTTAAAAGCACACGTAAATTTGTAAAACATTGCATTTATCCGGAAATAAGAAAACACACATTGCGCAACAAAAATAACTGTTTATTGTCAAACAGAATATAAACAAATATAGAACATTTAAACTAGCTTTGAACTGAATAGACGGCAAATCTAAATTCGACCACACGGTGTGTGGGGTATGATGATCCGAAAGAGCACAGGAACTGGTAAGTAAACCGGTGTCAGGGAAGGATTCAGGTCTCTGTAGAGTAATTTTGTATGGTCATAAACTACAACTTGCTCACTAAGGCAACTGCACCATTAAGGGATCTATCGAAGAGGCCCTCGTTTGGATGTGTTTGATACGCCGCCTGAGCAGAATGCTTGGGATCATTTTCAGTGGGTATGATATACCAACCGACATCACCATAAACTAAAGTATGGAACGGTTCCAATTAGCAGATTCGTAATCGATGATTAGGTATACAAAAGAAACTAACATTGCTTTTTATTTTCGCTGTTATTATTATCTCATCTGATCAGATCAAAACTGTTTCATATCGCCAAGTTCGGGAACGATTTGTATCCTGGGTCAAAAGTTCAACTGCAAAATGACCTGGTTTAAAATGTACAAAGTGAATTGCCCGAAAGCGCTATTGTCTGAAGAGCACTCCACATAACCCTCTGTAGGAGTAGCACCGGTAGTGATGAATAATGTTTGCCACGAAATCGACTTCCGCTACAATGACGGTCGGGCATCTATTTGGCGAGTTTTAAACGTAACACTTTCCCGTATCTCACCTTCAGATGCTGTCAGTGATACTTTTGTAGTTGTACGTTGTTCCGTGATTCATTACAACCTACGACTATTAGTTACAATTAGCGTCAAAGCATCACAGGTGAACACCCGCAGTTTTACGTGTCACTGCAGTAACGAACAAGCCACATTGTACCGCCGAAGTAATTTCAGTTGGTAATTTCTAACTAACACAATGTTGGTTTGCCATTAACATTGGCCGCCAAGTCCAATGATGATAGTGATGAATATTGGTTTGGTACCTCAAGCTTTGGTGCAGTGAAGTGTCATTTGTTTGAGTATGGTTGAAGCACGATCGAAAATCTTACGAGGTCATTGTCCAGTTAAACTAGGTGGATGCTCATATATATATTCACCGATTGGCTTCAGAGCACAAATGACAGTAAGGATGTGGCATGATCTGTTTGCTCGTAGCTGAAGCCTCAGCGTAGGCTGAAAACTACATCATTTATTTTGTTGTAGTAGTTTACAAGAGCACAAATAGTGCCCTTGTGACGTTCAGTTGTGGGACTGGGAGGACGCAATAGATCCTGTCCGGCTTAGGAGACATGGTGGCATACAAACTGACTATAACGAATAAGATAGAGAAGTTACAGGGAGGTTAATGTATGGATAAGAGAGTAACTGCTTCTCTGCCAATGTAACATTATTGCAGTCATTATCAGTGGTGAATAGTTGATATAACACAGTTGCCACGCGGATGTGGCTGTTAGTAATAGCATCACTCCAGCTGGGCTGGCATTTCTGTGGAAGTGAATGAGTTTTAGTAGAGTGAACACCGGCAACAGACTTACCTTTGCTACGGCGGAGCTCTTGCTAGCCAAACTTTCCTGTTCCCTTAGAAGAGTGCAACGTTGAATCTTAAGTGTCTCTATATTTTCATGAAGTGCCTTGTTTTCTTTTGTCATCGCGTCGACTTCGTTGACAAATTTAGTTAAACAGCTTTCAGTAGACACATTATCGGCTAAAATTCTTTTGTAGGTAGGTTGCGTGCGTCGAAGGGACAATTCACGGGAAACAGAGGCCGCCTGAAATTGCAAATATAGTCTGAGTCCGAATACATCAAAACTCTATAAAATAAAATGTCACATCCATTGATTTATAATGAGGTTGCACAATATAGATGGTTGTATTGACTACATTTAATTTGGGATACACGCCTTTAACTATAGAGTTTGTTGACCATTTCGTTGGACTTTGCCTCGCACCGCCGAGGAATATATCATTTATTTATTTAATTCCGATGGCATGTAATTATGGTTCTGTATGAAACTAGAAGGGTTTATGAAAGTGATTTAGCGTTCTTGGTGTCGATTAAGGTCGGTAAGCTAGGTGATAGTAAGGTGGTGAATCGATCTAGGTGGCGAAATTACCGATCCTCATAAGAGGTTGTGGAAATAATGAATCAGCCCCATATGCCTTAACTGCAATGAAGTGACGAAGTGGAAACTGCTTTGACACGTAAGCGTGATCCACCATAAGTAGACACAAGCGAAAACTGGTTTTGGGATAACCGGTTGAGTTTGGCCTCCTTCTCAGCTCGGCGGCCGGGCTGTTGCCATGTTGTCTATGGCTATATGGAGATTTTAGGCTTAATTGGACAACCTGTGCAAACAGCATTTGCGCATTATTGCCTACGTTAGCCTAAGGCGCATGTTTTCCAACTTTTCTGAACATTGCTGGGCATTGTTGGTCCTGTTGCTATTCGCACGTCACGCGCTTGAGGCGCCTATATAGCTCTCTCCCAAGACTTTAAGTTGGGGTGCCCAAGAGAGAAAGGATTGGCCGTAGTGACACGCCGTCTTCAATATTTTCGGAAGACCGTCGAACTGTGTGATATTCGAGTCACGCGTTCCTCTTCTGTGATCTCAAGCTGTTACTGGAGCAGCTTCAATGTGCTATTTATTCTGTTCGTTAGCTGTAGCGCTGGATTGTTTTCAATACAGCTGTAGGTCGTCGTGTCGTTCAGAAGTTGATTCGCTTCCTCAACATAATCTGTCTTATCCATTAAGGTTACCATATGCCTGTCGTCAGCAGGTAGAATAGGAATGGAATCGTCTGCTTTCAAGATTTTTATTGAATTTTCTCTCACCGAGATAGGGTTTGTGCAGTTTGTCGGTTTATCATGAATACGGAGATGGATAACAAGCCCACATTCCTAGACGTGTTAGTCACCAGCAGGGCAGACGGAGAGTTGTAAACATCCGTTTGAAGGAATGGTGCGCAGAAAGGGAGAAAGCCTGAAATATTAGGGCAAAAACCCTAATTATCACAAAATAAGTTGCATGCGAACTCTCAACCGAAGAAAGGAAATCTATTGAAACATTGTGAAGGCAAGATAGAAAGTGAATAAGAACTGAATGATCATCGACTTAGTTTTGCCCAGGAATGCCCGAACCACAAAGTTTTGAACTCCAAACCTACGACAGCGACAGGGAAACGAATCATTTGGCCCTATCTGAGGAGCAAATCTGGGATGACGCTCAGACAACTCAAATGACACGGAGTTACAGTGGCTGACAAGCCAACTGCCACTCTGATGGAGACTGTCAAAACCCAGAAGTCAACAACAATTCCACGAATGGTGAAATGCTGTGTCCAAAATACAATGTCAATACTGCGACAAGAATAATATGGATCAAATGGAAAGGAAATTGTGAACAATACAAGAGCGACAAAGAGCATACAAAAAGCATTACCCTCCACCTTTGGTTTTGGCGTACATAGAGAAAGAACATAGTTTTGATTGGAATCAAACAACAATCATAATATACGGGGGAAAACAAAAGAGATTTTTAAGCATGGCATTCCATGAAGAATTCCATAAATATGTATATCGATATACATCAAGTACTTGAAACGATCTGACAGAAACTAATCAAAATCGCAACGTACAGCCAAACAAACCAACAGCCCAAGTGAACCATATCCGTCAGATCACCAAACCATCGCATTAATAGGGTCGCTATTGGCCATCCAACGTCGCAGCGACAAATCCACCAACTGTGCCATCTGCACACACGTGACGTGCGTGCTCTTGGTTCATTTGGATTATTCCCCTCTATCCTCTCTCCATCTTCTCACAGCGTTGTCACTGTACGCTCATTCGAACCGGATTTACCAGCCTTACACAGTGATCCATCATAGGTGGAAATATCTTCTACGATTAGAGTCTGGGCATTCACTAACCGTTTTCACTGGCATCCGTGCTTAAGCACAAGCGTTTAACTTAATCACATTGAGCCGATTGCCTTTCTGTGTGACACCATTCGATACAGAATTCTCGAGGCAGACCGAAAAGCCTAAGCTTATTCCGATCCAGTGTTTCTCAACACAGCTGTGAAAGAATTTGTGATCTGTCAATCTGTGTTCAGCGCTGTGTTCAGATTCAGTTAGCAGGTTCCAGTCACTCGCCATTCCTTGTGACCTTGTCAGCCAGTGCGCCTGCATAACCCAGCACACGGACCGCGCGACCACGCCGACCGCTCATTTGACCTTGCAACCACCACGCTCGCCTGACCGATGTGCGCCGCTCTCAAAGCTGTAAAAGTACAGAACGCTAATCAACCCACTGGGTCAAGTAACGACACCAGATGGAAAGGCAGAAATGCGAAACCGGAGTCTCCAAGCGAAAAGCATTTGCGGGTTAGGAGAATGTCATCGAGTAGTTAAAATCGGTCTGAATTGCTCGCACTGTTTGGAATGGTATCATGCGAAATGTGCAATTGTGTCCCAACAACAGGTACGGGAGCGAAATAGCTCCCAAGATGCACTTTGGTTCTGTACTGCTTGCTCCACCATCCCACTCGTTAAGTGCTTGCTTATCCTAGTTCAGAAGTGCGACCGGTTAACCGCAGAAGCCGAGCAGAGGATAAAGGATAAGATTACTTCAATGGAAGCGAGTATGCACCACGGAAGCGTAGCGGCTTCTAAGCAACCCT